AATGAGATAAAAAATAATTATCTTTTATTATGTAGTTAAAATAAATAAATATATTTAAAAATATATTAACTTAAATATATATCAATAATTTTTCTTAACAAATTAGGTATAAAATTGAACAAATTAATCTTGAGATATAACTATCGGGATCAATTTGAAAAATACGTTGATGGCCAGCGTAACATCCTTTTTGAAAAGTCTAGCTAATGGATTGTACCAAATTGGAATCCGAGGACGAAATCATCATATCATTGCATAACTTCTGGGGTCAGCTGCCTTTGTACGTATTTTGCAGTTGGCATTGTCAACCGACAATGTTCATGGTCCCGCCCTGGCTAACATTAAATGACGGGTTTGGGTTGATCCAAGTCTATCCAAGGGGGAAAAAACAATAGTGAATCATGCCAATCACATTTCCTGTATTTGTGGACGGTGATTTCAAAATATATAAATTGGTGTTATTGACATTTTAAAATGGTATAATTATAACATTAGATAATATTATAAATTTATAAATTTGTAATTATGATATATTATAATGTGATAGTTCTTTTTATTTAAGAGAGATTAATTGTAATATTAACCTCTTTTTAACTTAAAATGATTGTTGTTTTTTTTTATTTTTTTAAATTAAGGATTTATAGATAATATTTATATTTATTTATAATATCTTAAAAAATAAGAGAAAAAAAGATTTTTTAATGATTGGATAATTAATTAAAATAAATAGATAATGCTAATGTTAAAGTAAAAAAAATATTTATTTATCTTGAAAAATAAAAAAATAACAGTTAATTTAAATTTTTTTTAAAAAGACAATTATTTTCAAATAAAAAATATGTATATATTTATTTAATAATATAATTATAACTTCATAATTCTACATAATATTATAATAACTATATTTATATCATTGCCGTTTACATTACATATATTTAGCTAATTAGCATGCCTTTAGTTAAGAAATAATTTCATAAAAGACCAGAAACGATACATTAACCGACTAAAATTAACTGTTTCGAACTAAGTTATAATACTAGTATCATTATTAGAAAGCTTATGGCATTTACAAGATTAAGGAAGATGTTATCACAGATAAAAAAAACTTATATATCCATACGAACATATCATTAAACATAAGTAGAGATAATATGAGAGTAAATTAAAGAAAAAAAAAAGTGAGTAAAAATCACTTCTAAACCCCATATATATATATATATATATATTTCAAATCACATATAATGTAATGTAGAATATTTCACGGACTCATTTTACTTTTTTGTAATATGAGAGTAAAATAAAGAAAAAAAAGTGAGTAAAAATCATTTTCAACAAGCCCAACAATACCTACCAGTTCAATAATTAAAAAACTAATACTTTTAAATTTGAATTTAAAACAAAGAAATTTTTAAAGGTAAATTTTAATTATTGAACCGACAAAATTTTAATTATTGAACCGACAAATGTTATTAGGTGTGTTAAATCAAAGGATGTATCAATTATTTTTCATATATATTTCAAATCACATATAATGTAATGTAGAATATTTCACGGACTTATTTTACTTTTTGTTTATGCAACCTTCTTTCCTCCTCTTATTGTAGACAGGTCATAAAATCTGAAGAGAAAAGCTTTGCCAACTTTATTTTTTTCCCACAATAAGAAGACGAAAATTATTTATTGATACTATTGTTGACAAAAATATATTGAAAACATCAACTTAACATTAAATTAATAAATATGTATTAATGAATTCTTTCATTCTAGTGTAGATACTTTGCTTTGATGGTATTGTAAATGAACTAGTCTCAGAAAATACTTAATAATTTAAAAACACCTTAACTCTTTACTAAAAAATAAATACATATTAATTTACATATCTTATATAATCACAAAAAGTTAATAAAAATTATTGTCACGTTATTTTCTCAATAAATAAAAGAAATTGATGGATCACCTTATTTTGGTGGTAGGATGTCCCAAGATGATTAATTTTGTTTGTTTTGTAATAGATAGAGTAATTCTTTTTACATCTTTAAAGTAAGATTTTCCTACTTAACACTTTCTCCAAGGGTAGATCCAGCATAAATATCAAGTTCTGTCATGTGATTTAATACATCTTACATTTAGGTTCTATATGTGAAGTGAGTTAATAATAAGCTTTTAAAAAATGAAATTTGAACTTTGATACCATTTGAAATTGACATATAGGTTTTAATATAAAGTTTACATCTAATATAAAATTAATTAATAATAAATAAAATAATT